AAGGTCGGCTGCAGCCTGACAGTCTCTTACGTGGGCCTCTCGCTGTTTGTTTGCTCCTGAGGCTTAAACAAAAGCTGGTATTGTGGAGGCAGCAGGGCTCCGGCCAGTGCTGTTATTCCAGAGCACAGATAACCACTTGTAAATTACACCGAGAGGACCACCAAACACCCCTCCCTCCAAACTTCTGTCAAGCCAGCTCAACTGGGAGATGGTAAGAGACCAGTTTAACCTGCAGGTCAGCAGCTCATCAGATTTCTAACTTTTGAAAAGTCTGTAAATGTTGCTAACAGTAAAATGCAGACATGTCAGAAATGAAAATTGTCTGAATGAGAAATCCAATGATCCAAAAGCAACACTAAAAGAGTGAATCAGCGTAACAGGCTTCCAAACAATAACACGAACTCAAACATAACAAGAACTAATGCTCAAGATGCTGAAATTATAAATCAAAAACTCGACCTAACAATAAAGAAAAATGTTAATTATTATTATTAACCTTTATTTAACCAGGAAGATCCCATTGAGATTAAAAACCTCTTTTTCAAGGGACACCTGGCCAAGATAGGCAGCAGCAAGTGTCTCAGTTACAGAAATTACCCAATTAAACACAGGCAACATCTAATTGAAACAGTTGCATGTTATGGACTTGTCCTCAAGGATTCGTAGTTTAGATTTAAAAGCACATAATGATATGAATTCAGTCATTTTCCATTCGTTCTGCAATTTGTTCCAAGCCGAGGGTGCTAAATGAACAAAAGCTCTTTTACCAAATTCAGTTCGGGCAAATGGAACAGAAAGCAACAAGTAACCATGCAGACGAAGATAAATAGAAGAGGACCTAATACAGAGTCCTGTGGCACTCCGTTGTGCACTGTAACAAAGTCAGAACATAGACCATCAGATTTTATGCACTGATACCTATTATTGAGGTAGTTTGAGAACCATGCCACTGCTCTGTCAGAGAGTCCCGATTGGAAGACTCTAAATACAACGATCAACAGTGTCAAATGCTTTTGACAAATCAATAAAAACTGATGCACAGTGTTGTTTCTTATCAAGTACAATAGTAATATCATTTACCACTCTCATTGCAGCTGTGATAGTAATGTGATTTTTCCTAAAGCCTGATTGATATTCAGATAAAATGGCATTGGTGTGTAAAAACTCCTTTAACTGCTCACACACAAGAGCTTCAAGAACGTTGTCCAGCACAGATAGATTAGATATTGGTCTGTAATTAGTTAACACTGCTGAGTCGACCCCTTTTAATAGAGGAGCAACAAAAGCTGATTTCCATACTGAGGGAATTTCATTCATATCCAGTGTGAGGTTGAAAAGTGTTGTGAGAGGCTCTGCCACAAGAGGAAGAGTGAAGCAAAGCAGAATAATAATATAATAAATGATCATATCAGCATAAATATATCAGCACAGACAAAGTCCAGAGGTCCAGCTCAGCAAGTCTTATTAGTGACGACTGCTTGTCACAGCTGTCAATCAAACCAGTCATGCCAACTTAAAGCCTCAACAAAATCCCCCCAAATTTGTTTTTAAAAAAATGATCTACATGATGTACAGTTTGTATGAAGGTGGAAAATATCCATAAAGACGAGGAATGCTTGTTGTACCAGGTTGTAAACATGTTTATTTCTGCTGTAAAGTTGGACTTTTTAACATGGGAGTCTATAGGGACTGGTTCACTTTGGGGACAGCCTCTAGTGGACATCAGAGGAACTGCAGGTTTTCACCCTGGTGGTTGCTGCTTAATTTTTTGATGAGCATCTAAACTGTAATAAAGATGTGATATGCCTGTAGATATAAAAATGAGGACTCATAAGAAGAGCTTTGTACAGTTTTGAGTAAAAGTATTTGCACCTTCTTGATTTCTTAGTTTTTCCATATTTGTCACATTTACATGTTATTAGCTATAGGGGGCAATTTCTTTTTTACACAGGCCCAGGTACATTTTTTAGGATTCTTTTTCCTAATAAATGAACTAATTTGCCAAATATTAACATTTGTTTCATGACTTAAAACATGTAGGTGTATAAATATGAAAAAAAACAACCTATAAGAAATCAGGAGTACAAATTCATTCTCACAGCGCTATGCACCCGTACAGATAACCTTCTTGATTACATGTGTCACCATGTCCTGTCCTGTCAGAAGAACATGCTCGTCTTCTTGCTTGCAAATGGCAACAGAGTCTTAGAGCTTGAATCCAATTACTCCCTGCAAAGCCACAGCGTGGACCCAGCTTTGCAGAGTGGGTTGAGTCAACAGGAGGGAAAGGTGGACTGGTGGTGTTTCAACAAGCTGCTGCTGGGAAGACCTTTAATCTGAGTGGGTTTAGAGAGCAAACGACGGGCTCAGAACAACAAGACGACCTTTAAAGCTCTCTGAGACACTGCTGAATTGCCGTGGGAGCTCCTTCAGTGCAGGCGTCCTCCCCTGTTTGCAGGAGGAGTGGTATAGTCCATGTTGCCTAGGTGAGTTGACACTGCTTAGTGGGATAGGCCGTATCAGCAGAGCCCATTGTTTTCAGGGGCTTTGGCTACTCAGACTCCTATGTGTGTGCATGTTTCCACTCTCTGGACATGTGTGGTTTTTAGAATAAAGAGAAGATTTCCACTCCCAGGTACTTCCTCTTTTCCTCTCTCTCTGTTTCTGTCTTTTTTATTCTGTCTTTTTTACTTCATCATCTCCTCTGATTCAATCAGTTGGTTTCCTCTCAAGTGGGATTAAATCAGGAAGCGGTGAATAACTTTGAGATAACGGCAGCTTTTCTCTGCCTAGATGATATATAAAGGTTGAGAAGCTGAGGCACATTTTGCCAAAGCTTAACAAATAGCTTGAGGGGAATTTTTTCTGTTTTCCTTCATTTCCTGCGGATTCACACTGAGGTGGAAAGAAGGTGGATGGCATTAATGTAGGTAAACCATATCTGTGTGGGTAACTGATTCTCCGATTTAGCGGATATGCTCGGTGTGGATTTAAGAGGCAAGTAATGTGTGTGGAGTCTTAAACCTGTTGCTCTGTGTTACCACAAAGATAAGTAAGCTGTTTTTTTCGAGCCTGCGTTCACGTTTGTTGGCAGGATTTTAGAGGGAAAAGGACATTTTTGATTTTACAGGGACTTTCCAAAAACCCCATCTCCTGACATTTATATAATTCAAAGTGCAACTGATGTGGTGTTTTAAAGGCTTATCGTTAGCTTAAAATGTTCACAGATTTGAGAGCCTGTTACACAGTTCTTAGATTTTAAAAGCTGCAATGATACAAAATGCTAAAAAAAGACACCCATAAAAAGAGAATGAAATCAAGCGCGTCTTCAGGGATTGTTTCTTAGATGCTGTTGGAAATAAATAGTACATAAACATAATTTTTAGGAGACTGGTTTGCTGCTTAACAGCTGGAGTTGAATGAAAGCTTCTGAAAACAACTTCAATTCCCTCTGAATCTATATGTTAATTTCCTGGGGAAAGCTTCAGGTTTCAGAACATTTTCCTCACTTTACACTAAAACAATATTTATGCCTAAAGTGCTGACTTTTAGTAATTTCATTACATATAGTGTGAAATGTTACATTTAATGGAAACTGGTCAGATGAAATTTACTTGATTGGTCAGTTTATAACAAGCACATGTTCCTTAATGATTCATTTTTTAATAAATATCCTTTTAATGTTATATATTAAGTTGTATAAAGTTATATTAATCAGAATTATTGCTTTGTGTTTCTTGAGACTGAAGTAGTGTTAGTGAGCACAGGATCACAGCGGTGTCCTGGATACAAACATAATACAAACATCTTTGTGGACTTTGTTGTCTGCAGTTTGCTGCTGTCATTTCAGCCTCCTGGACTCTTTTGCTTCGCTTTTTCATCTGTATTCACATTAGACTTTAAAACAAAGCAACAAAGTGCTGAGAAATAATAAAGGCAACAAACATGAACACTTAAAATAGTAAAATGGAATTAAGAGCAATTTCAGATTCAGACACAAGTATATAAAATCAACCAAAATAATAATAATTACTATGTTAAGTAAAGATTATTTATTAAGTGAGTTTCACAGACAGCCACAAAGTGCAGTACACACAAAAAAGAGTAAAACAAATGAGAGTGCCATAGTAGCTAATGTACAGAGACAGTAAGACACAATAAAATAAACAGATTGTTAAAAGTAAATAGATAAATAAATAAATTATGATGATAATGATACTACTACTACTACTACTACTACTACTACTACTACTAATAATAATAATAATAATAATAATAATAATAATAATAATTATTATAATTAATATTATTATTATTATTATTTATCCAGGTAAAAAATCTCATTGAGATTAAAAATCTCATTTCCAAGAGAGATCTGGCATTATTATTATTATTATGATTATTAGTTTTAAATGCCCAATAGAAACCCTGTTTAAACAAAACAGGAGTGCAGAAAGTCAGCTAAATAGTAGTAGCTAATGGTAGTGCTAGCCCGGGTTCTACACACTGAAAGGCACTGTCTTCTGCAGTCTTTAATTGTGTACGAGGAACACTAGCAAATTCTTAGCCTGTGAATGAAGAGATTTCCCAACAGTTGTAGGGCCCAGACAACAAAGGCTCAATCACCTTTAGTGACTAGAAGAGCCTTCGGGCAGCACGGTGGCACGGTGGTTAGCACTGTTGCCGCACAGCAAGAAGGTCCTGAGTTCAATTCCACCATCAGGCCGGGGTCTTTCTGTGTGGAGTTTGCATGTTCTCCCCGTGTTTGCGTGGGTTCTCTCCGGGTACTCCGGCTTCCTCCCACCGTCCAAAGACATGCAGCTTGTGGGGATAGGTTAATTGGATAATCCAAATTGCCACTAGGTGTGAATGTGCGAGTGAATGTGAGTGTGAATGGTTGTCTGTCCCTGTGTGTTAGCCCTGCGACAGACTGGCGACCTGTCCAGGGTGTACCCCGCCTTTCGCCCTATGACAGATAGGCTCTAGCGCCCCCCGCGACCCTGAAAAGGATAAGCGAATGGATGGATGGATGGATGGATGGAAGAGCCTTTGGGATTGGTCCAAAGTCAAGCCAGAAGGTCTCAAGCAGCAGCCGGGCTCAAGCTCAAACTAACAGATAGGAAGCGAAGGCTGCAAGGACTGGTGTGGTGTGGTTGTGCTACGTGTTTAAAAGCCTGATAGCAGCATTCTGTGTCCCTTAGGATAACTGATAACTGGATCCTGTTCAACATATTCAGACTATCTTGCCTTTATCTGGTTTCCCTTATCCTAACATTGATAATCAGGCTCAGCGGTCACATGAAGATTATTATCAGCTCAATGATTGTGTTCACATGAAAGTGTTAAGTTCAGGTCTGCTAGGAGCAGAGAGGCTGATTTTACAAAGGAAGGTAGAACCACGGTGTTAGAAAAGTGTGTGATGCTTCTCAGTATCACACCTCTGTCATGAAGGCGCAGTAGAGTCTGGCAGTAGTTCCATTAAGACGTTCAGCTCCATCCACAAAGCTCCATTCTTCCACACCAAAAAAAGGGTTGACCAATCAGACTTGGCGCGCATGTACATCTTAAAACCCCTGAAGGTTCTCATCTATGTAGTTTTTATGACGTTGCTTAGCAACCACCCACAAAACTGCTACATTTGTAGCCACATTTTGACTTTACGGCATAACAAAAAGATCTCATTTAGACCCACAAAACTTAGATAATGTGCCACAGCCTGGCAATCACCTAACAGAAGTAACAGCAGAACCTCAACATTGCACAGGACCCATCAAAAAACTGGCTAATTATTATACTGAATCACATTTTGTCACTGCTTTAAGTATATCAGTTTGCCAACAGCCTGAAAACAAATTTAAAAAAAGCTGTAGCATGGACATATAGTAGTAGAATTAAATTGTATATTTATTGTTAAAGCTCATTGTAAAGAGTAAAGAGTTTATCTGATCTGCTGTTTTCTGGAGATTTGATAGATCAGCAGGAGGTGATTTCATACTTACTAATGCCTAAATTTGATCAGGTTAAGACTAAAATTAGGTTGCTGGGGTTTTTGTAAAGATACTTGAGACTGTGACTCTGAATTAGTCAAAATTGAAGATGTTCCAGATGTTTGGTGATCACGTATTTGAACAAAGTTTTTGCACTTTTCTCGGCACTGCATTCGATTCCTCTTCTCTCCTCTTTGTTGTTCTTTTTTTAAAAAGCTATTTCTTTGTTTCCCGTGGCGGGCAGTGACACATCGATAAGCCCAGCTGTGATGACGCTGGCACTTTCTTTTGTGTAGGCAGCGTTCACAGCTCAACGGGGGCGAGATCAGCCCCGCAGACGGCCGCTTGTTTGGGTTCCAGTGTCAGCAAGATGGTGAATCAGCAGCATGTGAAAGGGTGAGGGAGGAATGGAGTGACACAGGGAGTGGTGATGTCATATGAGTGATAAATAATCAAACATTTCTTGCATATGTCAGTATCCTGCTGTGGGTCAGCTAATTAATTACAAATACAAAAGTTTGCTCGTCTTGTTGGGAAAACAAAAATAAATTGGGTACTGAGCTGTCTCAGTTACAAAGTTGAGCTTTTTAAAGAAGCTATGCAGAAGGTTCCCTGTGCAAATACTGACACTTCTGGGTATGATGCATCAGGGAAAAACATGTGAAAAAAATCTTCTGTCTTTTTATTCCCTGAGGACAAGATTATTATGAAACAGTGCTAAAAAGCAGAAACTGACGTTTCGAAAATAGAAGAAACTGCAGTTCCTCTAGTGGCCACTTGGGGCTTGATTCAAGACTCAAGTGGCCGCTAGAGTCCCCATAGTTGAGACGTCCATCTTTACAGCAAAAGTAAACGTGTTTCCATCCTACTACAAAAAAGATTTTAATCTCTAAGTTTCCCCTTTCATAACATCTCTGAGCAAGGTGAATTTTATCATAACTAATTAATTAACAACAGTACTGAGAGCACACTCGCCCATAAAATAATTAAGTGGAATTTAAATGTTTATTTTACCACTCTGTGCACTAAATCCCAAGACTCATGATTTTCTGGAGCATTAATCTTACCTTTGCAACAGTGTTGTATTTTTACGTTCTTTATAGAGTTTTATCACCATTTTACATAATAATGTCTCTGATTGGAGTAGGTGGTGCTCATAGGGATCATTTATGCAGAAGAAGAGTCACATGACACGTGAAATCCCCGTTGTTATGTGAGCGTGCACAGATCCTGACGTAGAAAGTGTGGCTTAACAGAAAAAGTTGATAACCACCTTCATGATACCTGTTATCTCCAACTGTGGTTTTAGGATTTGCCAAAACAGCCTGGCTGATCTTCCTAATGTGCACCTCGGATTTACCTCCAAACAACATCCATGCATGTCTGGTATTTGTGGGTTCAAACACTGCTATAATTGGAGGCTCACATGTGCTTTTGCCAGTTTTACATGCAATGCAGTATAACACATGTTGTGAATCAAATATAAAGATCAGACGTGGCTCTGCTTTTCTGACTTTTTAAATCACAAGTTGGACAATAGCAGATCGTCTGGGTTTGAATTAGCTGTGAAATTGTTTAAAGTTAAACTAACTGGACACATACATCAGTATTGGTCAACCTAGCAAATTAAATTAATGGTGCATTCATCAAAAGCTCCCATAAAAACCTGAAACCCATCTTTACTGTTTTGCCTCGTTGGCCTAAAACAGCAAGAATTGGAGGAAAGATTGGCTCTTGGAATAAAAGCATATACTAACTGTATGGCTATAGCGAAGCAGCCTCAGACCTTTGTGTGGTTCCTGTGGTGTTTTAAAGTTGGCGTATCAAAACTGTTGACTTGTGTGAATGTTTACAACACAGTAACTGTAAAGAAGCTTATTTGTCTCATTTTTAGAGCAGCCGTGAACGTGATAAGGTGGGGGATTTGAACAGTAACATGCCTTCACACACAGTTTTTAAACTGCTGCAGAGCTGTCACCGTCTCCTCCCCCTCTTTGGAGGAGTTATCTCAGGGTGAGGCAGTCACTCAGCCTCTGCCCCCTCAGTCTGACATTTGCTGGTATCTCTGAAAACAGACGTGGACCTGGGCCAAACATTCCTGTCTGTGCAGCAGTTCCTGGGAAGGACACAGAAGGAGATGTCAGCAGTGGGAAAAAACAAGGGTTGTGTGAGAAAAACCTTTCATAGAAAAATGTGTTCGTTTTAGAGGTTAAAACCAAGAATGTTTTGAGAGGTTGACATGAGCCACTGATTTCTAGACTTTTTGACCACCGTGTTTGATTTTTCTGAGCCAGAAGTGTACATTTTTGAATGATCACTGGCTCCTGTCCAGTTGGGCATTTTAGCTTCAGATACTACAGGGATTGAGTCCTTTTTAAAAACGGCCTCAAGTGGCCACTAGAGGAACTGCGGATTTTGGCCCTCTGAAGTTTTTACTCTCAGCTAAAATTTAGTGGCATGTTTTCAAAGCACATCATCCAGGTAGTGTCACATTTTATGACATGAATGGCTTAATCCCACATTCCCATGATCGTGCTTGCTCTGTCTTCATTTACTTTCCCAGCAGCCTCAGTGGCTCTCTGCAGAGGCAGCAACTCCCAGACCAAACACTAGATTACAGCAAGGACGCTGGACAGGACAATAACTCCTCCTCCCCTCCATTTTCTCAAATCCCCCACTTTATAATCCTCAAGGAAATCTCCTCCCCTGAGGAGGAGTGTGTTTGTGTGTGTGTGTTCAGACTGGGAGCAGCAGGAGGAGGAGGAGGAGGAGGAGGAGGAGGCAGTAGCTCTTGAGTCATGGGGTTGTCAGATTCCTCTGGGTGCTCGTCTCCATCAGGCTGGTGGGAGTACTCATGTTTAAGTGCGTCTTTTTTTGTCCTCAAGTGTTTTTTAAAAAGCAGCGGGTGTGGAGAAATGGAGGGAAAGTGTGCACTGTGAAGCAAAACTATCAGCTTACACGTACACATGAAACAACTTGTTTCATGTAGCTGGTAAGTTAATGTTTAGTCCTTCATTAATATCATTGTTTAGTTAAAATAATAGTCCTGATTTCTGCACGGTGTCAGATAGATCTGAAGACTTGCTGCTGTCTAGAGCAGGTGTGTTTTAGATATTTATACGTTTTTGACCTTCTAAGCCTTTTTCGACAGATACTTGGGGATTTTATTGTAAGTTTGAGCATTTCTTTCAGATGCAAGCTCTCTTTTAGGTCATTGAAAGCTGACCGCCTGCAAAAAAAAAAAAAACGCAAATAAAATCCCTCCAGGGTACACAGACTTTTGGAAACAGTGACAGAGATACCTGCGCTTGCTTCCTGATGTCGTCACACGGTGTCCTCCCCTGGCTCCAACTAAGCAACCACATCATGTGATGATGCAGAGATTATTACTGAAACTCGATGAAATGCCGCTCGGCTCTGAAAGGTGCTGGAGAGAGGATTCAAATACGGGTTACAAGTGTAAGCAGAGTAGTAGAATTAGCACTGAATTAGTGGTGGGGACAATTTTGAGCAATCAGAGAAAGGGTATAAATTATGACCATAGTGGGTTGCAACGCAGCTCGCAGAGGCAGCAGAAATGGTTTTCACACTGAAGCAACTTAAAACTATGAGATATACCAACTGAATATAAAGAAGATGACCTGTACTGGCACTGAGATCAGCTGAAGCGTGCTCCATACTAGGATAAAGGTAATGGTAAAGTTCAGAGTTAACAGCAGATACACGTTATTAATAATTGAAGAGATCAGAAACAAATTGCTGAATCTGTTTCAATCATTTTTGATTAATTAACAACATGTTATTACAGGAAAGCTTTCATTCAGAACTATCCCACTTCATTCCTAACGATCTATTACACAGTGCTGTGCAAAAGTCTTGAGCCACTCATCTTTTCTTTATATTTTGCTTCCAAGGAGCCAGACTTTCTTCTTTTTTTTTAAAGTTCCCTTGAGGAGTGTTTCTTGGGACATTGGCTGCTTTTTCACTCATTTTCAGTCCAGTCCTCACACCTGACCATTTTCATAGGAATATTTTTTGTTTGTAAAGCCACTTAACTCTGACCTATGAATGAACACGACAATGATCACAGACACGCGTCAATGCTCGGATAGAAAAACACACAGTGGAACACTAGCATTCATGGATCTTGCTTTTCCAAATATAAAGAAATGAAGGCTGGTTCGAGACATATGCACGGCACGGTCTCTAATGATTAACATGTGGTCATAATGTGGACTCGTGGTTATCGTCGGGACTCTATTATTTGCAATAGAAGTGACAGTATCAGAGCGTCACAGCTGGTTACTAAGGGACTGAACTCTTTGTTTGTGTAACTGTTGTAGCACCTTTATTGCACCCTGTAAAAATCTTATCTTAAAGCATCAGCTGTTCTGTTTCTGCTAACTTTTGCAGATAGTGTAGCCTCAATACTCAAACGCTACGCAAACTCTGCATTTTCTTATTTATTTATTTTTTTACCAAAGATTTACATTAGAAGATTCTGCTCCATGATTGGCACGGATTGGCTTTAACTCAGTAACCAATCAGGTGGGAATATTATCAGTTCTTCCTTTGACTGTAACCTCCATCTGTTTCACACGGTCCAACAAAGCTCTCGCTGTTTTTTTCAGATCCAGATTTTATTTACAGTAGTCAAATATTCACTAAGAAATCAAGACGAGTAGCTTCTAAAGATCATTTGTTACTTTTCACGTGGTTCAAGCGATAATGCTTGCTTGCATCCCAGGGTACATCTGGACTGTAGCTGGGTCGGAGAGCCAAATCATTTTATTATTAATCGTTTGGTAATCGGGCTGGTTCTTACTGCATTTACTTTTCCATTCTAATTGTCCTCTTGGAGCTTTACAGCTTTACTTTACACAACATGCCTCATTTAAGGCAAGCATTTTTTTTAGCATTTGTCCTCTGATGAACATGAATGCATGGGAAGCAACTTCAAGTCCAGTATCTTGCCCAAGAACACTTTAGCATGCAGACTGGAGCAGCCAGGGATCGTCCCACCAACCTCCCGAGCAGTAGAACACCTGCTGTTCCTCCTGAGCTACACCCTTTTACAAAAATGCTTAATATCAGCCATCCACTGCAAGTGACTGGGAGCCTGCTGCTTCTGTTCTGCTTCAGCAATAGGCCCAACTGGAAGCTGACTGAATCGCTCTCACAGCCATTTGGGTCAGCCACGTTTCAGTTTCAGGTTCAGTTCTTCCTGAATGAACGCGGTGCGGCTCGTATTTCCTGGAAGCAATATCTGTGACAGCACAGCTGCGCCCCCCTGACAATAGACCCTCAGCGCTTCATTTGCATTTTCTTTGTGCAGCAGCTTGTTTGGAGCTCTCACTTTTTGTGTCGCATGGAGGGGAGGCAGTGTTGGTGATTAAATACAGATATCGACTCTGTAGAAACAGCAAATGATTGTGCAGATATGGAAAAACGTAAAGAAATATGGGAGGCTAATGTTAAAATAAATTCACCCAGGCCCAACACTAGTCACTCATATCTCAGCTGTATTTGTTTTGATCCTCTGTTTTCTAATGTATGTTCTGCTACAGTGTAAAAGCAGACTTTCTGCATTCCCATCACGGTGCTCCATGGCTCTACTTTACTGCACTACAGGCTCAGCTCAGGTTGAAAGTATGAAACCTTGTGCAGAGAATATCGCACTTAGTGTTGCCAGACCCAAAATGTTTGATGCTGATCTTCAGGAAATGATGTGAAGCAAACAGGGAAAGTGTCGAATGTTGATTAGATACCAGTGAAGTTAAGACAGAGAGCAAGACTTAAAACAAGTTATAATGTTAATATAGCCAGGCAACAAAATACCTCGCTATCCCATTAACTTGGCTTCATAGTGCACTCCTCAGATCCCAAATTAAGAAAGCTGCTTATAAACTCCAAACGCTCCATTTTTACCAAACTGTACAATAAATAAAGTTTACCAGATTTGTAGTAGGAAAGATTTTTGAACCTCCAGATCACAAAACAACACAGCAAAGGGCACCAAAGACCAAAAACCAAAACATTTATTGAATCAATCAAACCTTTGGATGCTTATAAATACATACAATTTAAAAAAAAAATACAATTTGAAAAAAAAATCTCATTATTATCTGAAAAAGTTTGACTTACTAAACTTCTGAGAAAATAATAAGTATAAATATTTAGATAATGCTTGAAAATTTGTTCCATCACAGCGAATCATGGAAGGCGGCCAGTATCGCTGTCCCGCTTGAAGCGAGGGAAAATACCTCCCTGCATTCCTTTGCTGAAAGAATGTGGCGTCGCCATCGCGGCCTGGCAGGATTAATGTTTGGCTCAGGGCAGGTAACAGTCTCATCTGGTCCAGATATTTCGTTCCTGGACAAATAAACAGCAGTGTGTGTTTTAAAGCACCAGCTAAGATGAAAAAGAAAGCTAGGTTGATATCAAGGAGTGGTATCAAAGAGAGGTTTGGGGGTGTCCAACTCAGATCTAATTTTTCTAAGCTGCTAAGCTCCATCGGGACCATATGTCTCTGACAGATCCGTCTTTTAATTTGAAAGTCCTTCACAGTAAGAGACGGATCAAGTCCAGGAGCCAGTAAACCTGCTCGCTTGACCTTTAGACATCATTCTGGATTAAATGTTCCTCACAAGTTAACAGCTTACACTTGAAAACAATGACAAGACGGCTCAGTTAAATGTCACACATCATGGTCCAACTTGTTTCTCACAAAGACTGCAATTAAACGACAGCTCTAGCTTTAAACTTGCATTATTTTTAAGGACCAGCAGGGGCCAACTGCGAGCTAGACAAGTAAAATATAAAAGTGCCCAAAAATCCCCAAATTTTCTTTATCCTTTTGTGTATTTTGTGTAAATTGGTATGAACCAATTTAAAAAAACAAAACAAATATCTAAAGTAGATAGCAGAAAAAACTTTTTTCACCAGGTGTAGCATGAATGACTGCGAGTCAGGTTTCACTCTGTAAAAGTTATGAAAATACTGTTTATGCTGTCCTTCACATTTTCCAAAGTTGTAGAAGATTGGAGTCTCTGCCAGGCCAATTCTGGCCTCCAGGCATCGTATTTGACACCTGTGTCCTAGAGCAGCGGTCCCCAACCTCTACTGCGCCACGGACCGGTTTAATGTCCGACAATATTTTCACGGACTGGCCTTTAAGGTGTCGTGGATAAATACAACAAAATAAAATGATACGACCAAGACAAAAACTGTGGTATTTTGTAAATATAATAATAATAAACATGAATTCACTGTATAATTGTGTAACTTTATTAGCAGCGTCCTCCTGAAATCTGCCAACAACATTGAGAGTAACATCCTCCTCTCTGCCCCTTAATGCTCTCTCTGGTCGCTATGGTAACGCGTAAATATTTCTTTCAAAATAAGACACACAACTACAACACGGGAAAACACCCAGGGAAACCGAGTTAACGATAAAATCCCTGAAAAACATAAATTTCACACGTGAGCCTCAACTCTCGCAGCCCGGTACCAAACGACTCACGGACCGGTACTGGTCTGTGGCCGGGGGTTGGGGACCGCTGTCCTAGAGTATTGTTCAGATGTTGGTGGAAGTTGCACATAACCTGTGAATTATGAAGAATCGTGTGCCGGATCAGAGTCACTGACATTCTGGTTAAAAGCTGCTGTATAACTAATATTATCCTTATATGCTGAGCTTAGTTATTAGCCGGCTAGAAACTGATGAGAGCAGGGTAGTCACAGTGAAGAAATAAAAGGAATCCATGAGAACCAGTGATTACCAAATAAAACAGGAAATAGATTTAAGCATAACTATCCAGAACCATTTAGAGGTTTATGGGAAAACCGTCCTCAGCAGCCTCACTCTGTACCTCAGTCAACACTTTCCAGATGACTTCATGAGCTCAACTGCTAATTTCAGATCATTCTGGGGGAAAAGTGAGGCTTATTTTGTAAATCAAGGTCACGTGTAGACTGAAAAAGGAAAGGAGGTGACGTGTCCCTGTGGGGAAAAACCAGAGCATCTGGAAATTAATAAGTAAAAAACTACATTTGATTGACATCTTTTATTCTAACGCTTGACTTTTCCTCCACCTTTTCTTCTTCCTGCTTCTCTTCTTCGCCCACTGCCCATCAGGGTTAAAATGGTAGATGTTGTGTCACCAAGTACAATGCCATCAGAAACTGAGGTGCATGTGGCGAGGAGCTTTCTCACCAAGATTTTGCGAAGCTCTATGAGGTACCATCCAGTTAGCTTGTGTCTGGCTGTGTTTACTGGTAGTTTCTTGGTGGACCTACATGGCGTCAGATCATTGTGCTTTGTGTTCTTTTGTAGTAGTTTAATGTGTATGGTGCTAGCTGTCCAAGTATCTTTAGTTTACTTGCACATTTGTGTCTGTCATCAGTTCTGTGATGTGGGAATTACCAGATTTTACACGTACAGCGCATTAACATGACTTGCTTGCATGGTTTTCTTGTGGTTTGATATGTTGTGGAAAAATTAATGTCTATGATCCTTTTTCAACATGCTCTCCAGGAAGAACCGCTTCAAGGGGTACGTGCATGTTTGATGTGAGCAAAATTATACTGTGAAGCTGTCGATTTACCTTTGTGGAGTCTTACCTATCAAGGTGCTGATGATGTTTAAAATAGGGTTTGCAGGCCTGAGGCACACAGTGAGCACCCCCCCC